ATATTATAATGCAGTATAATACTATTATATATTATAATGACTGACTACTATATAATATATCAATATTATAATGCAGTATGTTGTATATTACACAACATTGTGTCATAGATTAACACAACATAATATATAAGATATTAACACAAACCAGATATAGTGTTTATAGATATTAATACATAATGCAATGTATCAATATTAATACATATATCATATATTCTATTTTATATATTTTATATTACTATATAATAGAAAATATTTACATTTATAAAATTTATATATTTATATCTTTTTAGATATATTTATATCTATATTATGTTTATATATTTATATATTTATATATTAGTTATTTACATTTATAAAATATTTACATTCATAAAATGTATATATTTATATATTTATATATTTATATATATTTATATATTTAATATATTTATATGTTTTATATATTTATATATTATTTATTTACATTTATAAAATATTTACATTTATAAAATGTATATATTTATATATTTATATATTTATATATTTATATATTTATATATTTATTATCTTTATAGATTTATTATATTTATAGATTTATAGATTTATATATTATTTATTTACATTTATAAAATATTTACATTTATAAAATATTTACATTTATAAAATGTATATATGTATATATTTATGTGTTTATATATTTATTATATTTATATGTTTTTATATATCTATATATTATTTATTTACATTTATAAAATATTTACATTAATATTTATATTTTATATATGACACTATATTTTATATATACTATATTTTTATATAGTATATATCAGATGATATAGATTATCTATATTATTTATAATACGGATTTTAAGGCAATTCTGCTCTGCCCACAGCCCCCCAGGGTGGGTCACTGACGGGATGGGCACAGCGCTCCCGGGGTGGGGGGCACCGGGGGTGGGTTGAACGGGGGGCCGGGGGTGAGGGGGGTGCCCCGGCCGTACCTGTTGAGGTGCCCCCAGTTGGCGAGTTTCTGGGCGGTGGAGCTGGCGGGCACGAAGCTGTGCAGCTCCACCATGGCGGGGAAGAAGAACTTCACCACCTCGGCCGCGAGCACTGAGGGGGACACAGCGGGCGGGGCTGGGGGGGCGGCACCGGCACCCCCAAACCCTGCCCGGACCCCCGGGACCCCCAAACCCTGCCCGGACCCCCGGCACCCCCAAACCCTGCCCGGAGCCCCGGCACCCCCAAACCCTGCCCGGAGCCCCGGCACCCCCGGGCCCCCCCCCGGCCCCTCCCGGCGGCCCCCCCGGGCCCACCCCCATCGCTGAAGTCGCGGGCGATGTTCCTGCGGGGCCGGGACAGCGGCACCGTGTCCAGCCAGCGGTACAGGGCCTGCAGCGCCGGGGCCGCGTCCGCCATCAGCGTCCTGCTGCCATGGCAACGGGGGCGGGGCTAAAACCCGGAGCGTCCTGCTGCCATGGCAACGGGGGCGGGGCTAAAGCGGGGCGTCCTGCTGCCATGGCAACGGGGGCGGGGCTAAAAAACCAGAGCGTCCTGCTGCCATGGCAACGGGGGCGGGGCTAAAGCGGGGAGTCCTGCTGCCATGGCAACGGGGGCGGGCCTAAAAAACCAGGGGGTCCTGCTGTCATGGCAAAGGGGGCGGGGCCAAACCGGAGCGTCCTGCTGCCATGGCAACAAGGGTGGAGCCAAACCAGAGCATCAGGCTGCCATGGTAACGGGGACAGGACTAAACCAGAACATCCTGCTACCATGGCAACAAGGGTGGAGCCAAACCAGAGCATCAGGCTGCCATGGCAACGGGGACAGGACTAAACCGGAGCGTCCTGCTGCCATGGCAACGGGGGGGGGGCTAAAAACCGGAGCGTCCTGCTGCCATGGCAACGGGGGTGGGACCAACCCGGGGCGTCCTGCTGCCATGGTAACGGGAGATGGGGCCAATCAGGAGCAGCCTGCTGCCATGGCAACTGGGGCGGGGCTAAACCACAGCATCCTGCTGCCATGGCAACAAGGGTGGGGGCTGCCCAAAGCATCACCACTGCCATGGCAACCAGGAGGGATTCATGGGAGCAGAGATGGGGCCTGCCTGGAGCATCCCGGTTGCCATGGCAACGGGGG